CAGCAGCAGCAGCAGCAGCAGCAGCAGCAGCAGCAGCAGCAGCGGCGGCGGCGGCGGCGGTGAGAGGAGAGGCAGAGACGCAGCAGCAGCGATGCATGCGGCACGGGAAGCAGCAGCGGCGGACAAGCAGCAGATGTTGCAGCGACGGGAGCCACGAGACACAGCAGCAACAGCAGCAGCAGCAGCAGCAGCATCAGCAGCAGCAAGAAGACAGGTGCGCGCAGGAGAGCGAGAAGCAAACGGGACAAAGAACAAACAGAGCTGGAAAAGGAATGAAGAGACAAACTACTGAGCTGCTGCTGCTGCTGCAGCAGCAGCAGCAGCAAAAAGATACTTACCAGCATCCCAAATAGTGCATCCGTCATCATCTGCAACAGCAGCAGTATTGAAGTCCGCCAGCTGCAGCAGCACCTCGCTTTCCTCAATGTTGCTGCTGCTGCTGCTGCTGCTGTGGGAGCTGCTGCTGCTGATGCTGCAGTGGGTGCTGCTGCTGCTGCTGTTTCTGGCGCCGTTACTGCCAGTGAGGCAGCCATTGGCCTTCGCATGCATGGAATCACCTGCTGCTGCTGCTGCTGCTGTTGCTGCTGCTGCTGCTGCTGCAGGTTCGCCCTGGCCCCTTCGCTGCTTCTCTCGTGGCCTCTTTTTGCCCCTTTGTCCCTCTCCTTGCTGCTGCTGCTGCTCGTCTTCTTCTTCCGACTCGCTGCTGCTGTTGCAGCTGTTGCTGCTGTTGCTGCTGCTGCTGCTGCAGTGCTGGGGGAATGCTGCAGCTTCCAGCAGCCCATCTCTGAGGGCCTGGGCAAGAGACACCTGCCTCTCTCCGCTGTGCAGATGACTTGCTGCTGCTGCTGCTGCTGCTGCTGTTGTTGCTGCTGCTGCTGCTGGCTCTGTTGCTGCTGCTGCTGCTGCCGAGCTGAGCTGCTTCGCAGCAACAACAGGGACGGGGGGCAGGGGCCTTCTGTCTGTACTGTTCATGGTGTCTCTTATTTGCTGCTGCAGCGCAGCGGCAGCAGCAACAGCAGGAGCCCCTGTAAACAAAAAAGAATCTGCTGCTGCTTCTTCTTCCTCTGAACTGTTAAAGCTGGCCTCGCTTTCGCTCGCAGAGTCGGGGTCCCACGCTGCTGCTGCTGCTGCTGTTGCTGCTGCTGCATCTGTTGCTGCTGTTGCTGCTGCAGCAGGCGATAACCCCACACGCCCCCGCCGGGACCCCTGCTGCTGCAGCGGGGGCAGCCAAACGCGGCAGACAAAAGCTGAAGAAACAAGCAGCAGCAGCAGCAGCAGCAGCAGCAGCAGCAGCAATAGCAGCAGCAACATTATGGAGACGAAGATCTGCTCACGGCGCTTTTGTTGCTGCTTCTGCAAGGCTCTCTTTGCTGTTGTTGCTGCTTTTGCTGCTGTTGCTGCTGTTGCTGCAGCAGCAGCAGCAGCACTTGCTGCTTCTTACATGGGGGCAAGGGCCGCAGCAGCAGCAAATTCGAAGGCTTTATATCCTTGTGCAGCACGCGGTAAGAGTGCAGCACAGAAAGCCCCATTAGCAGCTGCAGCAGCAGCAGCAACAGCAGCAGCAGCAGCAGCACAATCAGGAACAAACAACAGTAGCAGCAGCAGCAGCAGCAGCAGCAGCAGCCAAAGGCAGCAAAATGACAACAAGGAGTCACAGAAGAAAAAGAAAAAGGCCAAAAGCAAAAGAGAAACAAATTGTTTTAAACAAAATTAAAAAGAAGCAAAACAAAAAAAAATAAATAAGTTAATTGATTGAATTAAACAAATTAATTAAAAGAAGATTACCTGCTTCAGAATTACTTTTGCCCCTTTTTCCGAAAATAAATCAACGCGGCAGCAGCAGCAGCTGCTGCTGCTGCACTTGTGCTCAGCCTCCTCTACCTGCTGCTGCTGCTGCTGCTGCTGCTGCTCTTGCTGCTGCTGCTGCTGTAGCGGCTGCTCCTGTCCCTTCTCTCCCTGCTGCTGTTGCTGCTGCTGCTGCTGCTTGGGAGTGAGGACAAAAGCTGCTGCTGCTTTGTCCCAACTCAGCAAAGTTGCGTGTCTCCTTGGCAGCAGCAGCAGCAGCAAACCTGCTGCTTCGTCAACCAGCACCCCCAAAAGGGGACAAATGAGGGGGTGCAGCAGCGAAGTGTGCAGCAGCACCTCGCACAGCACCTGCAGACAGCAGCAGCAGCAGCAGCAGCAAAGCAGCGGCCGCAGCAAAGCAGCAGCAGCAGTTGAAATGCACAGCAGCAGCAGTGGGCATCCTGCCCGTCGCCCCTCTCTGCAGCAGGAGCAGCAGCAAGGACAGCAGCAGCAACAGCAAAAGCAGCAGCAAGAACAGCAGCAGCAGCAGCAGCAAGAGCAGCAGCAGCAGCAGCTGACCCTCTGCCACTCCGTAAGGACTTGAACATCTCCAGCAACAAAACAGGCAGTGCGGAGGCGCCGCAGCGAGTGCAGCAAATAGCGCTGAGAAGTAAACCCTAAACCCTAAACCCTAAGCCCTAAACCCTAGGCTGTCCAAAGGAAGCCCTTCGCCGCAAGCAGCAGCAGCATAGCGACAGCATTGGCAGCAGCAGCAGAAAAGGGCGCAGTCCCGGCACGAGAAACGGCAGCAGCAGCAGCAGCAGCAGCAGCAAGAGCAGCAGCAGCAGCAGCAAGAGCAGCAGCAGCAGCAGAGGCCACACAAGCAGCAGCAGCAGCAGCAGCACCTTAGCAACAAGGGGAGAAGAGGGGGGCCCCAGATTTGCTGCTTTAGAAATGAGACAAAGGGCCCCTCTTGCTATTGTGCCCCCCAGAGCCAATCCTGACAAGCACTTCAAGCTGCTGCTGCTGCTGCTGCTGCTGCAGTACTCGTCGTCCTCTTCCTCGTCGCTCTCGCTGGGGCTG